TTGTGGGGGGGGGGGGGGCGGAGACTTGTGTTTGTATCCTACTAGCACGAAGCAGTCACAAACCTCTCTCTCTGGGTGTGTGCGTGCGTGTGTGTGAGAGAGAGGCAGGGGGGGAGGCAGGTAAGCAGGCAAGAGGCAGGAAACAGAAAGCAAAGAGCCACTGAGGTTGCTGGGAAAATAGCAAGCTACAGTTCAGCTGCAGGAGAAGGAAGTTGCTTAGAAGCCGGCCGGATTTGGCCCACGGGCCACATGTTTGACACCCCTGACTTAAGGGACCCTCCACATTCGGAGGCAGTCAACCTCTGAATCCCAGTGCCAAGGAGGCAACATCAGGAGATGCCCTGTCATTGGACCTCTGGAGTAACTGGAGTGGGACAGGATGCTGGCCTAGATGGACCACTGGTCTGATCCAACGGGGCTGTGCTTATGTTCTTTCTAGGAGATTTGGGAGACCCAGGTTCGAATCCCCACTCCCTGGGTGACCTTGAGCCAGCCACGCACTCTCAGCCTAACCTACCTCGCAGGGTTGTTGCGAGGATAAACTGGGGGGGGAGGAGAATGACGTCAGCCACTTTGGGTCCGCATTGGGATGAAAAGTGGGGTGGAAAAGAAGTCACGAAGCAAAGAGCCTCCCTTTCATGTCCTGGGGGCGGAGGCCTCCGTGGCTCCTCCCTTCCGGCTTGGCTTCTGAAGTTCTCTCCTCCGCGCAGGTTTATGTTCATACTGATGATCATCCTGACGGCGTTCCTGTGCGGGCTGAACAACATCTACGTCCACTACCAGGAGTCCGAGAGGCTGGGAAGGTACGGTGGCTCCGTGGGGCCAGCGGAGACGGGCAGGGCTGAAAAGGAACTTGCCGGAGGGATACTGGCCAGCCTGGGAGATGGGCCGGGGTGGTGCTGGTGGTTCTTCTTCAGTCTGGGGGCCACGGTGAGGTGCTGATGTGGCTGGTTAGAGGGCGGTCAGCAGGGTGGGAACAGGCAATTATTCAGCTCTGGGTTGGGAGATTCCTGGAGACTTTGGGGGTGGAGCCTGAGGAGGGCGGAGTTTGATGAGGGGTAGTGAGGTAGTGGAGCTGTGGTGGCTCAAGTGGTTAAGACGCTGAACTGCAGGCTGTGGAAGGTCGGCAGTTCAGCAGTTCGAGACCCAAGTGCGCCGCATGACGGAGTGAGCTACTGGATGTGCTACTGTTGGACTGGATGTGCTACTGGCCTGATCCATCATTGGCTTCTCTTATGTTCTTATGCAACCCTTCCCGCCCTCCCTGTCGTGATCTGCAACTTCATGACTCAATGTAACTTCCTCCCTCCTGGTGGGGAAAACTCAGCTTCTTCTCAGTTTTACTTTGGCCGTGGTCACAGACACTAAACGATCCACTTTCGGTCCACTTTCCACCTGGTTTTTACAGTGTACTGGTAAAATCCAGTTGGACAAGTGGATGGAAAGTGGATTATTTAATGTGTGTGACCAGGAGTCATTTCGTAGAAAAAGAGGTGCAGGGGCTCATTAGCATAACTCATTAGCATAACCTATTTGCATATGCCACACACCCTGACATCACCGGAAGTGTGTCAGAAGGCAACACCCACCGCTCAGGCTCCACTGGACTGTTTGGGATGGCAAGCTATTGTCCTCGCAAAGGAGGGAGAGCTTGTACCTGAATAAAACTGTTTTGGACGGGGGGCCGGGGGGCCCTCTGCAACTTACCTGGCTGTTTCTTGCTCTGACTGAGGGCTGCTGGGAGCAGGGGGTGGGGCTTATTGGATGTGCCCGCCCCCTGGGCTCTTTACTGCCGGAGCGCCGCTCCTGTGCGCTCCGGCAGGAAATGACCCCTGTGTGTGACCATGGCCTTTGAGACCCTTTTGCCGTCCCGGGAGAGAATCCTGGTGCGGTGGCAGCTGAGCTGACTCCGACGGAAGTCCAAGGCGGTGGAATTGGGTTCCACCAAGCAGGGCCGGAGGGTGGTCATTCGTGGATCTCGCCCAGAAGATCCCAGTGGACGGGCCCCAAGTGTCTTGGTGCGGGGAGAGTCGTCCGGCCCTCAAAGCTGTCCCTGCTTCTGTGCAGCTTCAACGAGACCTTCCAGTTCCTCTTCTGGACCATGCTCGGGATGGAGGAGCACAAGGTGGTGGACATGCCCCAGTTCTACGTGGCGGAGCTAGTCGGGAGGGTGCTCTACGGGATCTTCACCATCGTGATGGTGGTCGTCCTCCTCAACATGCTCATCGCCATGATCACCAACTCCTTCCAGAAGATCGAGGTGAGCGTCGCACGGGAAACCCGGTCAGGGAGAATAAGGTCAGCTGCTTCGTTCTTCATGGGGCACCTTGGGACGTGGCGTCTCTGCTGTGTTATGCCCATGAACTGAAATGGTCTTAGTCAGCGAAAGGGGCTGTGTGGCTCAGTGGCAGAGCCTCTGCTCGGCACGCAGGAGGTCCCAGGTTCAATCCCCAGCATCTCCAGGTGAAAGGACCAGACATTGGGTGATGGGAAAGACCTCTGCCCGAGACCCTGGAGAGCTGTAAAGAGGGGCCGTGGCTCAGTGGCAGAGCATCTGCTCGGCATGCAGAAGGTCCCAGGTTCAATCCGCGGCATCTCCAGTTCAAAGCACCAGGCAGTAGGTGATGCGAAAGACCTCTGCCTGAGACCTTGGAGAGCTGTAAAGAGGGGCCGTGGCTCAGTGGAAGAGCCTCTGCTCGGCATGCAGAAGGTCCCAGGTTCAATCCCTGGCATCTCCAGTCAAAAGGACCAGGCAGGAGGTGATGGGAAAGACCTTCTGCCTGAGACCCTGAAGAGCTGCAAAGAGGGGCTGTGACTCAGCAGTCGAGCATCTGCTTGGCATGCAGAAGGTCTCAGGTTCAATCTCCAGCATCTCCGGTCCCGAATGACTGAGGATACTCCTTGCTCCTGCCTGCTGTTGGTCAGATTTACCGGAACGACAGCATGTGGTTGGTTGTTGCATTCCCATTTATGGGACACTGTCAATACACTTGGGTTACAAGACCAGTTTGGTCTTTGCCAGTCATCTTTCGAGGGATGACACCTAAAATCTGTGCAATGTGGTTGGACAGCCCGTGCCATGAAATACAGAACTGATACTGGGCAGTCCCAGAGATTCTGGGGCCCTGGGCAAAAGTCCAGCAAGGGGCCCTGGAGTCATGGCCACCCTCTGGCCGGCTCTCCCTGCGAGGGCCAAGTAAGGGGTGTGTCTCTCACCCCCACTCCAATGTGAGAACCCAGCAGTCCGATTCCCAGAGGGGCCAATACAAGGGGCAGCATCTTTGGTGCAGTGCTTAGGAGCGCGGACTCTAATCTGGGAGAACCAGGTTTGATCCCCCACTCCTCCTCCACATGCAGCTGCTGGTGTGACCTTGGGCCAGTCACAAGTTCTCTCAGGGCTGTTCTCTCAGGAGCAGTCCTCAGAAAGAGCTCTCTCAGTCCCGCCTACCTCACAGGGTGTCTGTTGTGGGGAGGGAGAAGGGCAAGGACTTTGTAGGCCGCTCTGAGACTCCTTCCGGTAGTGAAGGGCGGGGTATAAATCCATTCTTTTCTTCTTCTTTTCTTTCCCCTCTTCTTTGAGGGCCCCGGCCCCCAGGGCTGTGGGTGGTCCCCCCCCCTAAATGTGGGGCATGGAGCAGCTGCCTCTGTTGCCTTTGGACTAAGACCGTCAGTGATTGATAACTAGATACTGGCTGCCTTTCCCTCACCCTGTCTTTCTGGCTCGCCCTTGCAGAATGATGCTGATGTAGAGTGGAAATTTGCCCGCTCAAAGCTCTACCTGTCCTACTTCAGGGAAGGTCTGACGCTGCCTGTCCCCTTCAACATCATCCCGACGCCAAAGTCCATCTTCTACGTCATCAGGTAATGTGACCCCTGGAGTAGCAATCTGCCCCCATTAGCCACAGCCTGCTTACACCCCTGTCAGCCTCCACACACCTTCGTGGCTCAGCGGGAGAGCATCCGCTTGGCATGAAGAAGGTCCCAGGTTCAATCCCTAGTTAAAAGGACCAGGCAGGAGGTGAGGGGAAAGACCTCTGCCCGAGACCCTGCAGAGCCGTGGAGAGGGATGGTGGCTCTGTGGGAGAGCCTCTGCCTGGTATGCCGAAGGTCCCAGGTTCGATCC